TCTTTGGATCAATCTTTACACCACCTTTATCATAGTATTGTTAGTAGTAATCACTTGCATGTGATCAATTGATTGATACTATAAACTTTTAAAGAACATTTCAACTGTTCAGTTGAATATGTGTTCTTACAAAACGCTTGCTCAGTTGTTCTAAAGTGTCTTGTTTGAGCGTCATTTTATCGTTGTTGCGATGAATCAATTATAACGCTTATAACTCGGTTATATGAGTGTGTGATGATGTTTTTGAGTGAATATATTGGAATGCACCTTTAGCACCGCCAAACGGAACATCTGTAACGGCACATTTGAAGGTCATCAGTGCCGACAATGCTTTCACTTCATCCTCGCACACGTTCATCGCATACCTGATACCACCCTTGGTGGGTCTACGATGTTCACTGTGCATTGCACGCCAGGCCTCAATCATCTCATACTGACCGTTATCACGTCGAATTGGAAATGTGATGTGCAGAATCTAAAATATTCTATTGAATTATTAAATGATTTGCAGAAAGATCCATTGAAATGATAAACGTTAATTGAACTTAAACAATAATGAAGCAATCCCTATCGCTCAACGATACAAACGCTTTATAGAATGTGTCATCGACTTTGCACTAATCTAAAACACTATGGCCACACCTTGTCAACCGACTTCATTGCGGTTATCACTCCACTGACGAAATTCTTTTTGTCCTGAAGTGATAACCCTTTCGTTTTGATCTCTTCAACTAACTTCGGCTGAATTACAGCTGATCCTTTATCGAAATAATAATCGACCATCTGAAAAATCGACTGCTCAGCGAGATGAGACATTGGCTGCTATCAAATGAGCATGAATAATGATCCATCAAAACATCAGTGTTAATTGCAAAACTCATTCATAACATTCATATCTTGCATTAGTATCTGTGCAACTACGAGGAATGTTCGTGTTCAGATATTGAGTGCATTGTCCTTTTGGTCTCTGAATTATCCTTCAGAAACTTTGAAAGTTTCTCAACAAATATTCATCGCAACCAAGATGTTAGGTCATTAGTTGTGATCGATGAAGCCATAAGATAATTGAATATTTTCACCCATTTTCATGTAGATATACATTTATTCATATCTATCCAATCATCTATGTGTTGAAGTTTATTAAATGAGAAACCTTAAAAAACGAAGGATCCATTTGTTCGTCCAT